AGTAATAGGAATTTATAATAACAAATTCAACATGCTAGCATTGTTTAAGTACATAGCCTATACATCCATAAACTTAATCGACAAAAGTGACGTTCAGCATTTATTTTATTCCATGATAACAAGTCAAATACCACTGAAACATTTCCAGTGAACAATGCCGTACTCTATTTACAGAAAATAAATGAAATTTCGATGAACGACAGCAAACATATTGACAAACCGAATTAATAATAATGCGATAAGAAAAATACCAATTGTGTTGGTGGATTGAACGTATGGTAACAATGACCAACCTCTATATTAATTCGATGTAACAATATCAGCGTTATTAACATAGATCAATGATACTCAGTGGATGGAACGTATTTGACAACAGAAATAATTATTGCAATATCAATTTATATCTTGTATCATTTTGTCACAGCTGTTTGCTTCAATTATTACCACTGAAAATGTATTATAAATCTTGTCAATCATAATTTTCTACAGTTTTCGTCGGAAGGATGATAGAACACGGTACGTAAAGAAATAGATTTGTCGGAGGACAGGTTCGACGTGATTTTTCTTGCGTTATCGCGTCTGAAGGATACACGGAGTACGGGAAACGTTTAAAAGCCCGAGCGGCCTATAATAATCTCGAGGCAAGACGACGACCAGTTTTGCCTTGTAAGAGAGAACACCGGTTAAATTATCTTTTCCGACCTGGCCAAAGCCTGTCTATCTTCTCTTACCAGTTTAAATAAAGTTATCGCGAGACCTCTTTTCCCGTCCTACTCGTTACCAAAGATTATACTCTCAGAGGAAAAGCTAATATTCTATTCGAGTCACTTTACGCACGCGAAGAAACGAACTTGGCCCAAATTTGATGTTTCAGTAAAATTGACTCGTTTCAGGCAAACCAGGTATATACCCAACATCCGGCAATCTAGTGTTAAAAAGTAAGTATTGTCAACGAGAAAAAAACAGCTCGGCTAATTAATGAGCGTATAAACATTTGAATCGATTAAAACGAGATTCGTTTTGCGATGCTCAAAATTCTGGAATGTCGATATCCGTGCCGAATTTGAAAACGTATTCACGTTAAAATATTCTCGAAAGTAGAACCACTCTCGATCGCGGAATTCGATTGGAACTTCCGGCAGGGTCCAAGTTTTCCCATCTGTTTCCTCGGCGAGGAACATAGTAAGAAAATCTCGGCAGTTTGTCGAACGGGGAGGATAGCCCCCACTCTTCCCACCCGATTGATGGAAAAATCTGGCGGAATCGTAAAAGGAAATCGTTGTATTCGCTTCGGATCCCTCGATTTTCCCACTCCCCTTTTGTATCTGGCTTTTATTCTCTGCGATAAACGCGCGTATGGAAAATAGCTGTAGTTGGGAAAAATCTAGGCCGACGAAACGTACTGTTGTTGTTGGTTTTTTTTTTTTACACGCCCGGAGATACCGTGAAATACGACTGGTAATTCGCGAGCTGGGAGAAAAAAAATGAAGGTAATCACTCACCGATGCCGTTTTCCCATTTTTGCTTGTGACTTTCAGCAGGGACCCCTCGTAACCCTGGAACAAAGAAAATTTCTGGTTAGCATTGCATTAGTATAGTGAAATGAACGTATGAATTAATTGATTGAAATTATGAAGGCACTACGCTCTTCGCTTCATATTTAACCGTGAATCAGTGTATTAAATTAATAGAAAGAGAAGAGTCGGAGACGACGAAAAATTCTAACATCCGTTTCATTCTTGATTTAACTGTATCGCATGAATAACTTGGCAGAGGAAAAATGGTGAGGAGCTTTTACAGGGCTGAGACCTCATGACACGAAAATACATTGCATGTTAGGTGTACATCCTGTATCTCTCGTTTATGCGACGTAACGCCTCCCTAAGGACCAATTTCATCTACCCGAAAGCAATGTACCTCCGCCGCCTTATGCATTCAAAATTCTGGGTCGTAGATAAAAAAATTCAATTACATTACCATTCCCGATGCGTTAAATTCGATTTTTCTTCCTTCACACATTGAAAACGAAACACTTTCGTACTGAGAAAATCGTGCGAGGAATAAGAAACTTTTTGGCAAAGCAAACTGACATTATTTTATATCCGAGGAAGACGCGTTGCGTAATTAAGTATATTTCATAAGCTAGATCAATTGCGTGCTACGTTAATGACGCAACATGATTCTCAGATGCATTTTACCAAGAAACAATTTTATTAAAAATTCACTCTGCTGCTTGGAAACTTGTAAAAGAAATTGTTGAAGATAAAGAGCTCCTCGTTAATGGTAATTTATTCTGCTTTAATCGCAGACTTATTTCTTCTTTCTTTGCTCTAATGTATAGCGCAATGCAAATCTGAAGGACGACACTGGGTCTAAGAATAGGGAATACTTGAACAATTCTAAATAGAAAACTCGACGTTCTTTGTGTTCATTCATTATTTTCGTTGGTACAATGATTCGTTCGGACAAGGGGAAAGATCGCGTTATCATCGGACTCAGTGAAACTTGTTTAGGTCTTTAACGATCGATTGTTCGCTTATCAGAACGGCCACGAGTTACGTTCGACCGCGTCGTAGCAAGTACAGATTTTTCCTCGCGTGCGATCTCATTCCTAATATATTCGTTTAATCTGAACTTTCTTCATCGAATATACTGGTATCGAACAACGTAAATTAAAAATTCATGCAATCAAGGTCGAAGTAATCTCCGTGTATTAACGTGACAATTTTCCACAGTATGCGAAACGAATGAAAAATTGCAACGCGACGTGTATCATCCGTTCCGAAATGATTGTAATTGTTTCCAAAAAGATGGAACGCTACAATTATGATATAAATCGGAATTAAAATCATTCGTTGCACGCAGGAAATGAATACTAATGCCGGGGACGTTGGGTATGCAAAGTGAAATGGCGGAAAACGGTGAAAATGTCAGTTTTTCGATCCGGAAAGGATTTTTTACGGTGCGTAAATCGGAACAAATTGTCAGGTGGCGATGAATTTCCTGGACGCGCCGCGCGATTCCAGTCAAACTGAAATTGCCGTGGACGATTAATCAACCCGGCGGTGCAGCGGGGGCGTTGCGAACGAGGACGGGCGCGGCACGGGGATTATTCGTTGGAAGAATATTACAAAGCTGATCATAAATTTGCGACGATGCGAGATAAACGGGATCCGGCACGGTAGCGAGACGCAATGAACGGGGTATTGTTGAATTATTTGCCACCCGGACGTGCTGATTCCAAACTGTTAAATAACAAACAAACACGCATCCCCTCTGTGCGATCAAAACCCTTTTTTAAACATTTTTTCATTCAAGCTCCGGTGCTCATGAACCAAAAGTCCGATGCACAATAGAAATAAAATTAAACGTGCAAATAAGAGACGGGTCGAGAAATATGAGGAGATTTTCATGAATTTTTCAGATAATTAAATATAAGAGTTTTAACGTAAAAACGACGATAAAAGCTTGTGCGGAACAAATATTCCTTGCATAAGATATCATAGTACGAAATACGCGATATTTCCTAGAAACAAATTCACCATTCTGCGTTCTGAACATTTTATTTTAAAAGGTAATTTCTTGAAAAAATAAAAGAAGTCGGGTAAGAAGAAGAATTGATGTACTTAAGAGCAGCAGCAATCTTCCACGGTATCAGGCTGCAGTTTTCGAGACGTGATAATGGATTAAAGGGATAACACGATTTACGCTTATTTATCGGTGGATCGTTGCAATCTATCGGGCCGCGGCTTAATCGAATAACATCGACGATCTAACAAATCCTGATCGAAACCTCGCTTGAAACGTCAAACGTAGCTTTCAATTGTGATAACTTCTTGTCTATAAATAAACTGCGGATTCAATTATAGGAAAACTGAATACGAAAAGATAATACAGAGCGTCAAAAGAGTAAAAATGAAAAATGCGTATTCGCATTTTATTTCTATTACTACGGTATACTAAGAGAATCGTCGTGACGAGAGATCGGATTAATATAAATTGACACTAAACTGACACATTGATAATATAATAAACTTTACGTTCATTGATTTCATTGAAACAATTTCTGCGTGAGCCACTTGATGAAAATTGGCTCTTCATCAAAGCAAAACGCATTACTATTTCACCGTCGATGCAATAAAAGATTCGATTAGATGACAATTTTATCGATTTCACGATTTCTAGATTTTTCAAAGATGGATAAGTCTTCAAGAGCGTTCGTGAGTGAGTTACGCTAGATTACGTACATAGGAAGAGGCGTTCCACGATCTGCCGTAGATATACATAGATTGGTTACACGCGTCGAGTCCAATCGAATTACGTCAGGGAAAATTGGACAGCGAACGATAAGAAAATATTATCAAAATCCAGGATTGTTAAAGTCCTTCGTGAAAAATGAAATCAAGCACGACCAACCAACAAATTTTTCTCTCCTACTGAAGATTCTTCTATCTTCTATTTATAATTATGAAGTCACGATTGCTCCATTGATAAAAAGAGGAGGAACCAAGATTACAATTGAATCGATTTGTGGTTTTTCAATCTCGTACGAGGCAAACCCAAAGACAACAGTTTAAAAATCCGTTACAGACTTTTTATTGTTTTCATACTCGCGTGTATTTGTCGTACGAATCAATCCCCTGTTCCCCTCCCGTGCCACATATTCCATAATCATTTAAATTCATATAATCAATATGTATCATTCCATATTCATACAGAACGATTTGAATTAAAATCGATTTCAACTCCAAACGTTTTTACATCTTGTACGGCGTTCTTTTTCTGAGATTCGATTATAAATGATATTCGGTTCTTCTGTTTAAAAGAACTGAAGGTATCGCAAGAGTCGTTTTCATTACGGACTCGAGTATACTTCGATTTGAGTCTAATAAAAAATCTGAATATGCCTGGGCGATAGGTCAAGGGTCGATAACTCTGGAAATGATATTTAAAAGAGGAGTATCGTTCTCCCTCGCGTGTTCTATTATAAATATTCCAACTGGACCCGGTGCCTGCCGGATATTAAAACATTGAAGGCGTGGAAAAGTGGAGCAAGCCGTGCGAATATTTTTAAACCCTTCGCGATGACGGAAGTATTCCTTTCATGGTGGGACGGTATGGATAGAATGAGAGAGAGAAAGAGAGAGAGAGCATCGAAAGGTCTCCGGGCTTAATGCGGCATGCAAAATGCAAATTTTAATATTCCATGGAAATGTCGATAACTTTGATCCGGAGTCGAAGGTAACGCCACTCTCATCTCTTCATTCGTTTTCTATTTTCGTATCTCCGTTGCACCTATTTTCTATTCCATTTTTAATTGGCATCGAACGGACGGTATCGCGAGTCAATCAGATGGGAAATAAATCTCGAACCGTTTAAAAGTTGATCAATACCGATTGAGTAACGACGGCGGAACGCGTAGGATTAAAGGGAATTTCTACTAGATTTCATATCTTAAAACATATGACGAATCCATCAAAGACAGCAATTTATTAGTGTTTTAGTTGTTTGTTGTATCGGTTAATTATTTAAAAATCAGGCTGTACGCTTGGACCGATATTTCGTGTAACAAGTTACAGAATCCCTATTAGCAGCAGGGAATCAGTGCAAGATAAATATTTGTAGCATCCGTATGCATCCAGCTATCAAACTGTTAATTGTACGTAAACGATGGTAGTACTAATTAGTTGGGTCGTAATTAGAGAGTCATGGACTGCCAACCCGGTAAGTTCATCGTCGAACGTGACAGGCGTTTTTGATTCCAAATTCAAAAAATGTTCTATCTAATATTCGCGTGAATCATGGATCTGAGTCTTTAGAACTCAATGTTCGTACAGAGTTTACTATTTCATTTAGATATATCCTTGCAAAATATTAACAGAAACTCTTCCTCTCTGTTCCGAGTCTTAATTAACGCAAACCAAACACGCCCATAAAAAAATTATGCACGTCTCAAATATTCTAATAAAACGAGACTCATTCGTCATCAGTTTTCGATTAATCAACACTCATGGGTTTGCATAAAAAGAATTTAAGAGGTAACAAAGAACCGCCGTTGTTTTTATTGTATAGTCGATTTTCTTGACTCGAGGGCAATGCATTCATAAATTTTTTACGATGACCCGAATGCAATAATCGCGTAAATAATATCGCGTATATTTTTAAACCTGGTCGGGAACATTTCAACATATATTTGTAATACGTTTATAGCCCATTTCATTTTGCGATTAAAATCGATATATTTGCTCAGGAAACAAATATAAATAAAACTGGATCTAGAGATTCGATTTGCCAGTACCCGGCGTCGAACGGACCGTTTAATTCGACCGAATTACCTTTCAAATGCGCTGGAGAATCGATTCTATCAAACTGATTTTTAATCGACCATCGTGTGTTTATTTTCGTTCGACCATTGTTCTCTCTAGTCTCAAGTAATAACATTTCCATTCGTCACTCATTATTTATCGTTTGGCACGTGTGCACGATCCCTTGTTCACACGACGTGGAAATATAAGAGGGTCGCATTGTGCTCGACAAAAATTAATCCTCGCGTCAACACTGTATTAAACGTTTCGCAATTTGGAATATTAAAAATAGAGAAGTTCTGCAAGAGTTTCGTGAATCGAACAAGCATAGGCGAGTATATTAAAATAAGAACTGATCTTTCGAAATTACTCTCGCCGATCTGAGAATCCTCTTGTAATAGAAAAATCGTAGTTGTCTAAATCCTAAAATGAATCCAATGAAACGCGGAATATCTAATTTTCGAAATTGCCATTGTCAACGTTCACGCGCACTAAAATCTATACTCCATCGCTAACAGTGTCGATGCGACGGTACGTTACTTCGTTCGAGATAACGTTTATTGGCAATGGAAAGCACGGTTGATGATCGTTCGGATGATCGGTAGACATAGGTCGACTGGTTTACGGTTCCGCGACGGTATTGTGTACCGAAATGATTTATGGCAAGCCTGTTACGCGAGCTTGCTCTTTACATCAGGGAAAACAAAGCTCCTTGGCTCGGTAGCGAGTACCGCGATCCCTTGGCATGATCCCGGAGCTTTCAGCAACGCGACGAACTGATCGCTATCCGTGTCAATCCATTAACAGACCCAAATAACGGAGTCCATTAGAATTGTTCATAACAATTGTTACACGAACAGAGACTAGTGCGTCGTTTTTCAATTTGCAGGGATGACAATGCAGAGATGTCAGGCAGCATGCATAAGTTATAATGTTCATGTATTTCAAATTTAAACGCATACAAAGATATTCTATATTTGTAATGTGCGATACCGCACGATATTTCATACTGCAATTCGGTTTACCGAATGGATGGATCGCAAGGAAACCGGAGACCTTTATATGTCTTAAAATATGCTAAGTTTACGATATGGTAGAACAATTTCTTATTTTGCATTGTAATTTGATCTAGTGGAACCTATGGATTATTGCTTGGGCGTAGGAGGATCAGAGACAACGGGGATGCCAGGGGAATTTGCGGGTGGATTCGTTCGAATTTGAAGGTAAAACGAGCTCCGGCGGTCGGTTTCCGGTTTGAGGGTTGTTTCCAGAGATCTGAGACCACGTATCGGGTATCATACGGCGTGGGCATCGGGCATTACGAAACTGTCGCGTCGGGAGACTCCAGAAACGAGCCAGGGACGCGAAAAGTCGACCGGGCACAATGCCCGGTAACTAATAAAGCGTTCTGGCAATGGCTTCTTAGACTTGGTAACGAGAAACGTCCGCTCGATGCAGGCGAAACAGCGTCCTTTATCGAATAACTATTTCCCGATCTCGCGCCATGTATCGAATCCCTTCTATCGTTATTCGTATCGAATCTGTCATGTTCCTTCGAATGAAGAATAAACGATTAAGAACGAACGTTGGAAAGAAAGAGGAACAGTGGTTCCAATTTTATTGGTCTTCAAAAAGAAAAGAATCGTACGATGTTTCACTTTCATGGGATTCTATTTACGTTGCTAGAGAAAACGGACGAGGGATTAACGATGCAATTTGACAGTCGACTTCCCCCTTTTATGTAATTTGGGTTACGGCTGATAAAAATATCGCAGTTTTAAAAATACTTTTCTTGCAAACGAACGAGTTTTAAAATAAATTACACGCCGTCTGATATTCTAATTATTCGGTTTGTCAACATCGCGTTGCATTATTTTTTCTGCACGAGTAAATGTATAATTCTGTTTAAGTAAAGTCGCGATATGAAAAAGCTACGCAGGACATATTTAACGTTTGACCCGCGAACGCCAAGTCCCACGTTTATTTTTCTATCCAATATTTATCGACGAATTACACCCGATTGTATTTACTTTTATTTGTTGAACGCGAAGCTTTGAAATAACAAAGCGAGCGACGGTACGCGACACGAAACGCAATCCCCGGGGAAAAGGTTGCCGCGTTTGTTATCGGGTGGATCTTCTATAAAATTCTATTGACCCATTTTCTCGGCCGCAAATAGCCGCATTAAAGTGAACAGCGAAAAAGGAATCTGCTCCCGGTCGCCTTTGTCTAACGCGAGTCGATCAACGGCGTCCTACGCGTTAACACCTGAAACGTGGCTACTTTATGTTTCCTCTCAACGATAAATCAATATCGCGTATCCGGCCGAGACAGCACGGTATTCATACGATTACGATCATTCTTTCGGCCGTCTCTTTGCATCTCTTTGTACGAGATATTTCTTGATCGAGGGCATCGTCGATGAATCAATATCACGCATCTAACTTATGCTGCGATCGCAATAATTCTTTGAACGTCTCGTAATTCAAGGAGGACTCAGCCCCTGGTTTACGTAGTCCGGGAGAGCGTTTCGTAACGAGGGTTTTTTAATTTTTATAAAAGCATCCGACGAAGGTGAGCACGTACCGGGCGAAATGAAGTGGTGCCTGTAAAGTTGTGCATCCACGGCGACCTCGATATCGTAAAAATTCTTTTCGGGTAATACCACTTACGCGAACTTTCCTTCCGATCGATCTGCCCCGTCAGTCAAGGAGAAACAGCGCGGCCGCGATCGATGCGAACCGCGAAGTTGAGAAGCCGTGGATAATAACGAGTCGCGATAGATTTCGCGCGGAATCGACTCGCTCGAGTGGCCCTTATTTCGTCCACGGAATCCTACTCGAGTTATCCGCAGATTTCCAATCCCCTCGACCTTAAACAACCACCCCGGTCGCTGCGGCGACGATTTTGTTTCCCGATCAAAATCTATGCCACTATTTCTTCTTGCTTCGATGATGACAAAGGCTCGAACTACACATGGATCGCGTACGAAGAAACAAAAACGACTCGTGCTCAAATACAAAAGTATGAAACATCTAATGAAACAATTAATTTATGCGAAAAATCGTACAGGCTTAAAATATTCTATATTTTATTCGCGACGTTCATCCATCCCCGATTGATACTCTTTTAATTAATACTCTATCTGATTTCATTAATTAATTTCATGCAATTGTACACTATACCTTTCTCCCGTATTTTATGTATCATCCGTTGCAGCTGATTTTATTAATACCCAACGTCAAATCGATGAAGCGAAATCTCCTATTACATTGGCAAATGTTTTCACAGGAATAACGCGAATCATAAATTACGTCTAACCGAGATACATAATATATTATACTAGAATTCGTACTCGATTCAAATGCCATCTCCATAAAGATATAAACTCTGTCATATCTGATTGAATAAATAATATCAGCAGCGGTTCGTTCGAACATACGTATCATTGTTTGAACTCTGTGTACGTTTGATCGTTGAAACGACGGTGACCGCGGTTAAACCAGGAATCCGACCAGATATCAGAGGAATCCGTAGGAACGGGTGGAGAGACCAGATAAGAGGGTCGGAGACCGCGGGGAGTTGAATACGCGTAACTTTCCCTCTTCCGATCGCGAGTTTTCAGATAAACGGATTAATTCTGCATTCGATTACGTGATTTCATCATCTCTTCCTTCGGCTTTACGCCACCGTGCGAATTCATGCTCTCTCTCCGGGGAGAGATCGCGGCTTAACCAGATCAAAATGTTCGCACGCGGTGCTTAATCGACTCATCGGAACCGTTAACTAACCATCGGGCTAATCATTATGAGTAACAAGATCATTCACCAATGATTTTCACCATTAATCGAGTTTCTCCTATCTGTCGTCTGACTGATAGAATTATTCGGTGTCAAATTGCAAGTATAACTGCGTCGGATGATGAATCAATTTATCACTATTGACACAGTCAACTCAGAACAAACGTGCTAAAATCTATTTAATGAAAAACGTTCTTACTCCTCGTGACTTCTGTCCCTACTTAAATCAATGGAAAATATTTCGGGCACTATTGTATGCGTGTAGAAGAAACGGAAATAGAAATCCCTGCGACATAAGAACGCGATACGGTTTTTAATAAAAGAGCATTGGTTTTTGAGGAGGATCGTGTGTCAAAGACTCACATCGTACGCTCTAAACAGCAGATAGAGCTCCCTCGGCTTGGCGTCCATCGGCAGGCCGCTCACGAACAAGGTGCGCACCTGCAAAGAAAGAAAGCGATAATTTAGTTAATTAAGCTAATCGTAGCGAAGGTCGGTAGACCGAGGGGGAACGACAACGACGACGACTCGTGAAAAGGAGAAACGGAAGAAGGATTCTGCGAGAAATAGAGACAGAGACAGACAGACCGAGAGAGAGAGAGAGAGAGAGAGAGAGAGAGAGAGAGAGAGAAACGAGCGAAGATAACCGGGAATTAGTCTGCTCTCTTGTTTGACTGCTATACCACACCCCATAGTTAATTGCCGAATTAATAGGAGACGTTTTCTTTCTCTCTCACTGTCTCCCGTTACCCCGGCTTACTAATTTAACAACGGATTTCGCCCGTTCAGTGAAACTAATTCGATTCAGCGCCATTTAATTAAAATAGTTTACTCCTTGATACGCGACACGTTGGATCACATAAGAGCCGGTATGTCATTTCTACCTGCGTCTCGAGATCCTTTTTATAAATGCACTTCCAACTGCAATTAAACGAAAGCATTGTAGAAAAAGACGAACGTACTGACAAGAACGCGTCGAGGCGCACTTTTGATATAAAATAATTGCGTGGGTAACGAGGAACAGGTTAAATCGAGCTCGTGTGATTAGTACACGTATAACGATGAAGTTTTAACTATGGTGTGGTGATAGATGGTCCGGTCTCGCACTCACGGGTTATTTCTGTACGCGTGACGGACATTTTCGTACTACCGCGTGTTTTTCTCCCTTTCTGCAACACTCCGGTGGCAGCAGGCCACCGATTATGTCATTCAGAAAGAATGAAAGTAAGAAATAGAACGTGTCACTGTTGAACTCTGTACCGACTGTCAAGAGTACGTGAAAGACTCGTGTCATAGTTGTGAACAGCTGGAAAACAAGTCTGACTGAGAACTCATCCTTACGCATCGAACGAGATGCACGATAAGCGTGCTCGGAATATCTTTTAATCGAACTCGATACGAAAAGCTCTTTGATGTGTTCGGAAACTGATTACTTTATGACGATTAATTCTCTGACCCAATTGCACCTCCGCTTAATTGACCATACGCTGTATCTAAATACTTGTATCTCCATCGCGTTTACAAACATCCCGAGGTTCGGACACGCGGGTCGTAATTTCTCTTCCACCTATTCTTGACCCAGTTTCCAGTAACAGCACGAGAACAGAATGCATTGTGGCCGCGACGGAAGTAAGCAAAACGGCGGAGACAGTAAATTACGTACTGATTTGGCTCGACGCCAGATCAAAGTGACGCTAGACCGACTCCCTCAACCCGCTGTGTACCTACGCGTCTATCTCTCTGTGGATATCTACGCGGCCGTCTCCGTGTGTACCTACGCGTCTGTATGCGACGGTGCACGGCGGATTTTCTTTTTTGCAATAAAGGATTCATTGTCTGCGGCTTTGGTTCATAACCGCGAGACCCGGGATTCGCGTCGATGAAACGTGAAACGATTAGCGTTTTACAGCTTATCGTTCGCGATAAAAGGTTGGACATGAAATTATCGGAAGACTGTCGTACCAAAAATAAAAAGTGTGACGTGAAAACGTCTGATTTTAATAGGAATAAGTTCGATGACCATTGCGTTTCAATTTCCTTTATTTCGTACAGGCGAAAGTCGATTTGAAAGGGTGAATCCGTTTCACGGAACGGGCGAGTGGCCACTGGAATTCGACGGAAGTCGGTTATCTCCGGGCACAGGAAACGTGCATAAAGAGAATAGGAACGTCCCGTGAGAACCTCGACGAGAATCGATGCAGCATCGATCTACATCTTCTCACGTGGTTCAGTATTGTGTAGAACAGACTAAGGTAGGGAGAGAGAAGGAGAGAGGCGTACGCAATTTCCCAGTGGAATAAAGGCTCTCGGGGCGCGAGGCGCCAGGAACAATGCTGCGAACAGGTGGATAAGGGAAACACCGAAACAATGCCCAGCAGCCGCTTTCACTGCTTTCCATGCATATAACTACCCGCACTTACTATCTCCACTGATACTTTGCTGCGAAACAAACCGCGACTCTTTATCAAACGGGGCTATGTAGTTTATCGTATTCCTTTTTCGACTAATCCCGCAGATCACAGGACCGTCTTTTATTTGAATCGAATAAAAATAGAGCGAATCCATGTGAAAAATATCTAATTATTCCCTGATTTCCACTGGTTCTTTTCTCTGTGATTTTATATGCGCTCTTAAGCCAGTGAGTCATTTTTTATTCAATGAATCTATTCTCATCTACTATACTTTCGCATCATACTAATCGTGGATGATCCTTGATCCGATTAAAACGACGAATTCGAAACTCAGAGGCACTCGGCGATCGCATCTATGGGCTCAATTACAGCGGGAGAACGTTCCCTCCCGTTACCTAGGCGCAAAGCCTTTTTCACGGTACTCTTCGCCGAGCCAAAAAGGAAGGAGGTAAACGACGGAGAAATCGGTAAAAAAGCGGGAACCAAGGGAAACGGTAGCTGGTTCTTATTCGCGACGGTGGATACATAGCCGCGTGCGGCAGGCACCTAACCGCGTGTTTACTTCGGCGTGTACCGGAAGAAGGAGGCTTAAACTCTCCTCGCCCCGTCTCACCCTGCCCCTTCTTTCTACGCGGAAAGTGCGACGCGATCTCGTTGATATTCACGAGCCGGCCTATTCAATTTAACCTTGCACCTGCGAGCACCTGATGCTTCGTCGAGCTTTTCCGGATCGCCGAAATTCAAGTAGAAAAACAACGTTCTTCCGCGAGGCTTTGCATTGTAAATTCTTGCCGCGGTACCAAACGTTCCAAGTTCAGTGAACGTTCGTACTTCACATAAATTTAATCATCAATGGGATTATAATGTTTATAGAATTAAATATGTGCATTTGCGTTCAGATCGGAGATCGATGAATACAGACCGCTTCGATTTACACATCGTCTAACGGGGTAATAAATTGGTGTTTGATACGCGCGCGGATGGGTAATGAGCGAACGGGTGAAAGCACGTTCGCTGAAAATTGGCCGAGTTCCGTTAAAAATCCGGCCCGTTCATTTATACCTGTTGAAGCCGACTAAACCCACCGATAAATGGATGAGACGTGACACAATAACATGAATCTGCTAATAGCTTGGGCACCCGAAACACTTGTTCACCCGTTGTCAAATCACGTTCAGTATGATTTTCTTTCCGATGTCTAAGTTGTTGATACAGCAGTTTCTCTCTTCGAAGAGTGAAACGTTTCTTACGACAGTGGATTATGTCGAATGCAACTTGTATTTGGAAACCGATTAAATAATTCAGCTTTACAAGAACGTATTTTGTGAAATAAAAATCGTTCACTGGATAATGTCGGACGGTTCTTTCTTCTAAATGAATTTAACGCGAGTCGTAGCGGAATGTGAAATTCCTTCCGTTAATGGGAAAAATACAGTGAAAGTTCGTAATCCTGGACGTTCCCTTCACACGTTTCTTACTTTCTCACGCTATTCTTATTGCAACTTCTACTTGTAATGGATCTATTATACAAACCGGATCGAAAAACGTGAAAGGCGAACACGCAAAACTGGAGCAAAAAGAATAAAACTATTTGCTTCGCCGTGATCAGTCGTATTGAAAAAGTATCGACTCGACTTCCGATACGTATAAATATATTTAATTCATAAATAAGAAACAGCGCGAATAAAAAAATTGCGATCGTCATATCGTGTCGCATGTGTCGTGGCTAGAAACGGTAAAACGTGACCGAGCCGATAATTACGGATCGAGCCTAATAGAGACGAGGGACGTGGCGAAGAAAGAGTGTCTATCGCTCAGCAGAGGACGGACGATCCACGCGAACCTGACTTAAGTAATTGCGTCGCGCTAACTTGCGACGACGACGACGATGGTCGCACGTGGCACGAAGCTACGATGTGGGCTGCTTAAACTTGTAATGATCTAGCTGCATCAAATTGCCGCAACGGAGCCGCGGCAATTAATAAAGTTAAGAAACGCCACCGGGGCTGAAAGAGTATGGAGGCAACCTGGCCGAGTGAGGATAATTACGGTGCGCCCGGCCGTCTCCCCTCTGCCGACTAATTAATTTTCAGAGAACCTCGTTAAGAGTTGCGCAGCGTTTTGTCACCGATCGCACGGGATCGAAGGTTCCTCCACTATTCTCTTTTTATTGCGAAACTCGTTAGACCGATTCGCGTTGCGATCGACGAGACTGACAGTCAGATAAACAGCACAGGCAAAAGACCTCCGGATTTTTTTTTATGACGAAAATTTCACTTTCTTCGTCGGGTTCGATTCTGTTTAATTCGCGCTCACCTCTCACCGGAGAAAAAGCGAAGCCACGATAATGACGTTCTTTTTAAACGTTATTACCGTTATTCCTGGATGTCCTTCAGGTCGAAGGAAATGCAATTTGCGCCGGGGGACGATCGATCATGGACGATTGGCTCGGGAAAGAAAGGGACAGGAGCCTGTGAATGGCTATTTCGTCGATGGCATTATTTCCTCTTCAAATCGAGACGCGATTCCTGCGTACTCCCCCTCGGCCCCTCGTTCCCATTCAACTTTCCATCGTCTCGTTCATCATCAACCGGTCAAACGATTCGCGCGACTTCGAGCCGAGCCAAGTCCAGGTCGAGAGCCGAGTCGAAGAAATTCTAAGGCCGGAAACAGAAGTGCTGAGGAGAAAGAGACGGACGCAGTTTTTGGAGAACGATTCGATACGCACGATCGACTCCGCGCCCAGTTTCGTTTCCCGTGTCCCTATTTCGCGTTACGTCCGGTTTCCTCCCAGATTACGCCCAAATAACTTTGATCATTAGACGTTACGTCGATCGTTAAATGAAACCCCGATATCAATTATCGCATTAACCGTTAAATAAAATATTGTGTCGATATTTATTTATTTATGTACTTGATAGAGGAATACTCAACGCGGCAACGGAGTAATATTCCCGGTAGTTACTTATCGTCTCTGTTAATAGGAGTCAAATGGCAATGTGTTTAATACCAGAATCTCTTCGGTCGCGT